AGAAGAAGCCAAAAGGCAGGTGGAGTTGGCCCGCGCACATGATGACATTGAAAGCGAAAGCAGCTGTAGCAACGAACTTTGAAGCGTCATGGCCAGGACCTTCCCCTCAATCCTTGCTAGGTGAGTTGGTCTTTGTTAGTTTGATTGGGTTGTATGGGATTTGCCTCAAAACACCTGGCCAGGCACGTCCGTAGATGCAAGCTGGCCGAGTTGCCTGCAGTTCAGGTTTCGTTAGAGTGCGTGGGTACAGGGGGCTTGGGGGGTGAGGTGTATTGGATGCAAGTGAAGATTGCGTGTTAGCCGCACAGAAATTTGACTTTTGGGAAGCATCGACCCAACAGGCAGGGAGTAGGAGGTTTTTGAGAGCGTGTAGGCAGAGAGCCTTGTTTTTTCCAGATGTGTGAGTAATGGCCATGCCTGGGGCTAGATGCTGCGTATGACCTCCTCGCTCTTGGGAGGAATGGGCTGAGTAGTGGCGGTTTAGTACCAGGTTCGCAGGGCATTAGGTGGAGCCGGTGTCCAAGGCACTGCCCCCGGTGAGCTGTGCAGCATTATTCCACATTTTCCTCAAGAGATCAGAAAAACGGCGAGTGTATGCAGGGGATGCTGTTTGTAGGACTTGCCTAGGCATGCGATGGGTAGTGACCATACACTTGCCCGTGGCCTGGTGAGCTGACGGTCAAAGCTGTCGTCGGAGTGCACGTGCTGGGGGTACAGGGCGAGTGATGGCCAGTAGTGCTGTTGCGAGCAACCCAGAGCAACCCCTGGAGAGGCCTTGCAGAAGGTGTGTGGGGTCTTGATGGTTTCCTTGTTGTGCTAGTGACTTTGATTTATTATGGGTGGAGCCACGCGACAGGCAAGGCTGCCAGAGCGGGTCGAGTCTCGCCGCCTCGCCGAGTAGAATGTTTGCATGGACACTCGAGAGAGTACGCTGACGCTGGATTTATTTGAAAGGTAGCGGGCCAGGGATCTTGGGGGTCTGTGAGTGCATCTTTCCTCGAGAGATTACCGACCAATGTGCGCTGAGACATGCTATGGGTGCGGGGCCGGGCCCGGGGGGGCTGTAGGGCCTCTCATCACCCCTAAAGAAAGAAAGTGATAATTTGATGCGAGCTTGTTTAAACATGAATGGGCGGATATCCCGGGCCTTCTGAGTACCGATTTCGTACTTTGGACTGCTTGCGGGCTGGGGGCCCGCCCCCGTAGCTTCGGGTGCTGCATAGCCTTTAGAAGAAATGTGTTGACAAAAAAGCCATTCCGCAGAACCTGGCGTAGTCCTTTCGCCAGAATGGATAGGCACCGCGCCCAAAGGGTGCAACCACAGAAGGAAAAGGCCTAGGGCCTAGACTGTGTCAACAACCCCAAGTGATGGACGACCACACTTTAAAGTGGGGATACTCGAAGTAAACAATTAATTTGATTTTCTTCTTCCGTTGGACTCCTCTGTAATTGTCTTAGAAAGCATGCCGGGAGCCCGGGAACCGTCTATACGAGGCGTTGAGGAGTTGAAAGAATTGCGCGTCCTTTTATTTTGGGTGGTTGTTTGCAAGCCCAACTGAAGCAGAAATGCCGCTTGTAAGCACGCGAATTAAGGCATTCAGAACTGGGGACACGACGTGAGCGCTGGCAAGCAGCAGAAGAGAAGAGACATGTCTGTTTCCTGCAGTTGGGACACACTTGGCCAGGTTGGTAATGGGTGCCCCGCGGCGTTGGAAGATCGCGGGCAAGTACAGAGGCATGCCAGCGTCAGGCTTGACTTCAGACCATTTCAGAACACAGTTTCTTTTGAGTTGGTTGTGACTAAGGAGTAACGATTCTTCCTCGAGGTCATGCGTGGGCCATTGATGGTGGAGATGCAGACAGTCATGTGTCGTCTGTCGGCGCAATCTCACACCACGGGCAGAAGACGGAGACAAATTATCGGCAGTTCCATGGCTGCACGGGTCAGGAGCCCCTTTTCTTAAACTGATGCGCGACGTGCATTACAAAGCTCTCACTGTTCTCACTCGTTTGAGCAAGGTATTTTCGGGACAGCTTCGTGGACAACGGTGGCTCAGACTGTAAGGCAATGATCCGTGCTGGATTCTTTGTGGATCCTGGACAGTATGGAGAATCATTGAAGCTTGCCTTCAAGCTCTGACTTGCTTCTTTTTTTTGCATTGACGCTGTTCCTGCTTAGCAGTGCAGGTGGGGTAAGTTGAAAGCACGGACAGATGGCGCATTGCTGGATTGGACGCGTCAACATGTTCCACCCTGGGACTTTGCTTATTTGAGTTGTACCTCACAAGCAAGAAAGCAAGCAAGCAAGCAAGGGAAGTCCAAGGCAGCTACCTGCCACCCAACCTGAGGCATGAAGACTTTGTCATGCCGGCCGCTGGATGACAATGAGACACTCCACGTCACCATACCTAGGCACAGACAACACGCTTTAGTTAACGTGTATTAAGCCGTTGGTGGTGAGCCGGGCTCTTGCAAACGAGTGCTTTGGAATGTAAATATGCAGTCTTGTGGGTGGTCAGGCCCTTGCAGTCGTCCATTCCGTACAAGAAGATCCCAAAGGATATAACCTTTGAGGTTGGCAGTTCGGCGCTTCATGCCATTTGCTTCCGGAACACTGTTGTGCGCCCCGCGCATGGTGTTAGGTGTGTGCCGGAGAGTGGGAGACTCCTGGGCTGCAAGCCAGCAGGGGATGTAGGTATGATTGTGCCACGAAGCAAGATCCAGGTTGAAATTGTTGTAAAGCTTGAGGAGAGCACATTCAGGCTGTGCTTGAAAGTGTTGATGCAGCAAAAGCGAGACCGGTCAGTGAAGACACGGGCAAGGGCAAAGCAGTGAGTAGCATAAGGGAGACTCCGACATCACCTGGTTGAGGTTCAGGCAGGAGCAGATGAGCGGCGATTTGAGGATGGGATGGTGGGGACTCAATCAGGCAGTGATGAGATAATCTTGATGGTGTCACGGCTCTCAGCAAGCAAAGTGGAACTGTGACTGGCCGCGCTATCAACTTCTAGAGCAGCAGCCGGCAGCAGCGGCGGCAGCAGCAAGGAACAACTCAGAAGGAAGCGGGGTGGGAGACTGCGCAAGAAGACATCATGCAGCGATGGACTGAGGACCTGCTCGTGCACGGGCTTGGCAGCATCCCCAGTCAAGAATGATGGCCTTTTTTTTCTCTTGCATCCTTGCTAGGAGGCTGATAGTGGCAACAGTCGGGTACTGATAGCACATTCAATTCCTTTCTTCGATTGTTATAGCTGGTTTGGATGATGAAGACGACTGCTTACGTGCAGTTGCTTCTGTTGTGCAACTATTGTCAAGATACCCGTGTTCATGCTGGCGGCTGTTGTTGTGGTCATGGTAGTGGTGTGGGCAGAGTTTGTTTTTTGAGCTAGGTCGGGCCAATCCTCTCCTCCGGTCTCCTGTTTCTCTGGCGTGTGGTCCCCTGATTGTCCAACCCCCGGTCCCGGTCTTGAGATGACTCAGAGGCTTTTGACAACCTGGAGAACGGCTGCCCCCCAACCCTCCCATGGTCTTTTTAATGCAAACCGAATGCGTTGCAACTTCTTTCAAAACTTAGCTGGAACCTACGCGGTCTCCGGAAATCGAGGGGTAAATCTTATCAAATCTTCACAAGAACCTTTTGAGAAAGATCTCTCGGCCGTAGTAGTAGTAGTAGTAGTGGTTGTGATGGGGTGGTTGTGCAGGTGGCACAGGTAATGTAAGTCGTGGTCAGGCTGAGGTCACACTTGCAATTGTGGCTGCGGCGTTGTGCTAGTGGCGGTGCCACCGACATACTGACGTTCTGGCAGTGCAGCCAATACCACGGCAGCAGCTGACAATAACATTTGCCACAACATGCCAGAACTTTCCCCGCACCATGTCGCAACTGTGGCGCCACCGCCACCGCCACCGCCA